TTCAGCCTTGAAGGCTCAGCCACCTTCTCCAGGGAAGTCCCAGGTCTCCTGGCTTGGTCCTCATTGTCGTGGTGGGTCCTGTGATGTCTCTTCGCCCTGCGCTGGCCCCTTTTGCCCACTGTTGTGCATCTTTCCCTTGTTTGGAGGCTGTAGTCTGGATCTTATCCAACTTGTTCCTCGAGCCAGGCAGACTTTTCAGTAACAGAAGGCAGGCCGCCACAAATATACACTGCAAGGTGGGACAGATGGATGTCTTACTGGTGATTTTTAAGGTTTTTTTTGAGACAGGGTCTTACTATGTAGCCCACACTGGCCTCAAACTCATGAACCTGCTGCCTTGGCTTCACCAGTGCTAGGATTATAGGCATGAACCACCACACCAGGCTTCAAATTTGAGGGTTTTGCATGGCACAGGGTTGGCAAACTGTTGTGCACCAAATCCAACCTGCTGTCTGTTTCTGTGCCGTGCGTGGCCTTTCCACTTCTAAGTGGCTGAATGGTATGAAATCCAAGGGTCAGTGTCCATGGAATTCACCAGTACACGGCTGCACTCGCCGTCCTGGGCTGCAGTGGAGAGGCTGCCCTGGGTTATGATGTAGTTATTACCCACTCTGTGCCACGACTGTACAACTGTGCTGCAGTGGAAGGGCGCGAGTTTTGGCATCAGGTGGGGAGACTTACAATAACTTTCCACGGGGAACGTGAGTTTGATGATGCATACCTTACAAGGTGCTCGTGGGTGTTAGAGAGACTGTCAAGCGCTTAGTATGTGTTTGGGCCTTGAAGGTCACCGATGGCAGGTGGCCAATGGATGGCTTTGTGGTATGGGTAAGGGTTTCATTAATCAGGTTATTAAAGACTTCTAAGACTATTACTAAAAGCCATTACTATCTCTAAAGTCATCGATAAAAAGAGATATTAAAGCCACGGCTGCTTTCTTATAACATGCATGAAAATGACCAACTGCACACCTGTGTGGTCTGGTAGAGCTCAGCCGCCACGATGTCCAGGATGGTGTGACCAGCCACCTGCAGCTTCTGGACACAAAGTGTGGCCAGTATGGTGAAGGAACTGAATTTTAAATGTCATTGGATTTAAATTTAAACAGCACAGGTGGTATAAGGTTCCCATCTGAGTGTCACTGTGGAGCATGGAGCACGAGACGGGAACACTGGGCACCCAGCAGTGGACTTCCTCTCCTGTCTCATGGCCTGCATGAGCTCGTCCTAGGAAACTAACTGGGAGCGACGGGAGATTGAGAAAAGACCAAAGACAAACATGCAGAAAGCTGGGGTCAGGTGAGCTGGATGCTCTGGTAGAGACACACAACAGCCTCGTCCACCTCCAGCGAGTTTATTATATACAGCGGCAAACAAGGAGGAGGAGCAACCGTTCTGGGGGCGTGACATTGCAGTTATCAGGAACGGGAAAACATCTTAGGAAAGGCAGCTGTGCTGCATTTTGCCTTCGCTCCCTTCTGCGGCTGGGGCTGAGCCAACTCAGCTTGCAGCTTATTTCACAAGCTGTGCTCATGTCAAGTTCTCATGGGCTTCTCATACTTCACTCTCCACACTCTTGTTTAAGGGGCGGATTTCTCTGCCTAAAGATGTAGCAGTGAAGGCCCCGTAGTGAGGGCATGGTGGCTCTGGAGATGAAAGTGGTCGAATTTGGCACCTCCCTGCACCTGTCGCTCCTGCCACCTTGCTGAACACTCCTTTGAAGCTTACCTCTGTAGCACTTTACAAGGGTTTGCTTGCTTTTCTTTTAACATATTTTAAACAGCCTGAGCAGCCGGGTCTTTACCCCAAATTGAACTTCGCAAAGAGCATAGTCTCTTTATGCCTCCTTGTCCCTAGTGAAGCTATAGTTAGGGTACATGAGCAGACCTCCATGCAAGGAAGGCCAAGGACAAAGCCTGTGGAGGTGGGAATTCCCCAACATGAATGTGCTTCTGCAAATTAAAACATGTCTCCAAATAGAAATTAACTTTGAAAATTTCCACATGAGCTTGCTGGAGGAACAGACCATGCTACATCCAGCTGTGTGTGGGCCGGATGAGGCTGGGAGGATAGGGCTGCCGGGCACTGGCTACTGAGGGCCCTGGGCACTGGCTGGCAAGTTCTGAGAAGAGCCTCAAACTATGCTGTTTTCCTGTGGGAAACAACTTTCCAGAAGGGAGCATCCTCCCCCTCCCTCCCTCCCTCCCTCCTCCCTCCTCCCTCCCTCCCTCCTCCCTCCCTCCTTCCCTCCTCCTTCCTCCCTCCCTCCCTCCCTCCTTCCTCCTCCCTCCTCCCCCCTCCCTCCCTCCCTCCCTCCTCCCTCCTCCCTCCTCCCTCCCTCCCTCCCTCCTTCCTCCTCCCTCCCTCCCTCCCTCCCTCCCTCCCTTCCTTCACTGAAGTGTTTCACTGTCTAAACTGAGTGTGAGTTTTTGGGTGTGGCGGTCTCCTGCAGTCACTGAGCAAGTGGCATTTGGTACAAAGGAGGGGCTGGATTAGAAGTTGCAGTTTATTTATTTTTGGTGGGACTGGTATTTGAACTCAGGCCTTCTTACTTGGAAAGCAGGTATTCTACTGCTTGAGCCACACTTCCAGTCCATTTTGCTCTGGTTAATTTGGAGATGGGGGGGTGGGTCTCAAGAACTATTTGCCAGGGCTGGTCTCGAACCCAAGTCCTCCCAATCTCAGCCTCCCACATAGCTAGGATTACAGGCATGAGCTGCCAGTGCCTGGCTACATTTAATTTTAATTAAGTTTAAATTGATTAAATACCCATGCATGCTGGTGGCTTCTGATTGGAAGGTCCAGATAAAGATCATTACCTGGCCCCTTTAGTCCCCGTGCCCTCCTGCCTGTGCCTTTGCATCTGCCTCCCTTCTCAGCTTGGGTCCACTTCTGAAAGGTGGTTTCTGAGCCCTGGGATCCCCTGGGTGTGTGTGTCCCTGAGTACATTGCTGTCACTGCACTTCCCAGGAGAGCGGTCCTTCCGCCTGTCTTCCTGACTGTGTCCTGCTCCACTGTGCTCAGCCTAAGGAGCCGTGTGTCCCTGGCACATGGAGCGTGGCTGATCTTAGGAGCCCTGAACGCACTGACATATAGGTGGATGAAGTTTGTTTAATGAGCACTTACACAACCTTACCAAGACCAGCACGATTCTGAGAGCTAAGTGCCAATTGTATTTGACACATCTGGGTTAGAAGACCAGGTCCCTCCCCAGCTGCAGACTTCTACAGCTCTCTTCACCTCTTGAAGCTGCAGTGTCTTCAGTAGCCAGGGACTGTTCTGAGGATTAAAATGGGAGGAAATATAGGAACAGGGCACCACGTCGCTGCGAGTGTGCAGTGAGTGCTTGAAAATTTCTCCTGTACCTCTCCACCCTCAGAAAGACTTCCATCCATTGTGAGAACCAGTATTTTACAATGTAATTGAAAAAATATTATTCATTCATTTATAAATATTTAGTAAGTGTCCTGTGTGTGTCACCCAAGCCCTGGGGATACAACAGTGAACAAAACAAAAGTTGTTCTTCTGGTGGAGCAGACAACTAACCTCGGAAGACAGATAATCCATATTACAGACACGCTATGGGAACAGGAGGTCTGGTGAAGGGGTCCGGGGCAGGGGGGATCGGGATTGCCCTGTAAATGAGAGCAGGGCAACTTCATGGAGGAGATGAACTGAACAAAGACTTGGAGGGAGGCGAGGGAGCAAGCACGGCCGGCATGCAGGAGGAGCGGCCATTGCAGTAGAGTTGGACGCTCCTGAAGTGCTGGATACAGAGCAAGCGCCTTTGAGAGGGTGGCCAGAGAGGGGTAGGCAGAGGTCAGAGGTCAGAGAGGAAGAATGGGCCAGAGGAAGTCACTTTCTGCTGAGTGAAATGACTTTTAACACATGACTTTTGTTTTCAAAGGATGCTCCCATGTGCTGGGCTGAGATTAGACTGCAGAGGCAAAGAGGGTAGGGGGGAGACCACTGGGGATGATGTGACATCCAGGGGAGGGACGAGGGATGGCTGTGCCCCTCTCCTCCATCCTCCCTGTGTGTGCGCATGTGTGATGTGGATAATTTGTGTGACTTTGGTTGTGAAAGACTTGGAACATATACAAAAGCTGGTAAGTACATCATAGCGCGTGGAGCCCCATGTATCTACCATCTGTCTGCAATGGTCACACTGACTCACGGCCAGTCTTACAACCTCACCTACTCTCCTCCTCAGATTGAAGAGAATTTCAGAGGATGCCCTTCCCAGAGTCAGGACCTACTGTGAAAGCAGACATGACTTTCTTTTTTAAAAAATTAAAACATTTTTTTGGCAGTACTAGTTTTGAACTCAGGGCTAGGCAGGCACGCTACTGCTTGTAGCCCTTTTATTTTTTTTAGATTTAGTATTGCACAGACTTTAATGTGTACTTATTATTTAGTACAACAATCAACTTAGGAAGGAACTTTTAAAAGACATTTGATTTACAATTGAAAGCCTTCTTGAAATTCATGGAGTCAAGCCAGGACGTATTCAGTATATATTCTAACTCAAGACAGGAAATGAACCCCACCCCTTTCTGAAATCGAGATCCTTGGTCATGAATTTCCCAAGGAAAGAGATTCATATTTACACCTTAGCCCTTTTAACTTCAGTGGTTTTTTGTACAGGGTCTTATGGCATTTGCCTGGACTTCCATCCCCTTACTTATGCCACCTGTGTAGCTGGGCTGACAGGTGGACACCACCACAGTGGTTGAGGTGGGGGTCTTGCTCTTTTGCCCAGGTTGCTCTGGAGCCATGATCCCCCCATCTCCTTCCTTCAGATAGCCTGGGGTGTTTCCTCAGTCCTTCTCACGTCTACCTGCCGCCCACTTTAACAATACGCCTAGTCCTGTCACGGCCTTGTCTTAGAATGCCTCAAAGCTGGATTTTGGGAGCCCAGACTGGGCCCCACTCATTCACACAGCTCCTGCCGCCCTCCGGCCTCTGGGGCTGATGGCCTGCGATCTTGCTCCTAGGAAGATGACTGATGCCCCGAAGGAGGGGAGACTGGCCAGGTTCCTGGATTTCACGCAGCTGGTTGACATGGCGTCTGAGGCCGTGGGAGGAAAGGTGAGCCAGTTCTCGGGACACAGCCGGTCTAGTGTGCTGATGGCGAGAACCAGTTAGAGCGGCAGGGCCCAGGCTGAAGCCCTACCCGCCTGGGAAGCCCGGGCGGCAAAAGACTTCCAACGCGTTGCCAAGGGATTCCGGCAGTTGTAGCAGGGCAGCATCACCTTAGTTTTTGGAAAAGACACCTGGGCTTGTGGGAAGATACACTGTCCCTCTGTGCGCTCTTCCAGAATGGCACTTAAACTTCGTGTTTTTGAGACAAGATCTTGCTTGGTAACCCAGGCTGGCCTCAAAGTCAGGCTGGACCTGAACTAGAGATTGTCTGCCTCTACCTCCTGAGCGCGGGGATTACAGGCATATGCCACACATCCAGCAGTTCCTCAACTTTAGTGGGGTAGGAGAATCCCCGGAGGCAAAGAATGAGGTTTGGGCGATGGGCAGAGGCACCTGGAGAGCATAGGAGGGAAGGCCCAGGCCCTGGGGGGGGGTCTCGCGTTGCCCCCAGGGAGAGGATGTCAGGTCCAGATCAGCACTGTGACCGTGAAGGACAGGCGCTGGGGAGCACATGGACTCCAGCCCTGGTCAGCCCATCTAGGCAAGTGATGTTTCGCGAGTCTCTACAGCGGATGGAACTGGGAGGCAGCAGCTCCACAGGCGCAGGAAGCACAGCAGGGTCCCCCTTTCCCTTTGGGTTCCCAGCTAGAGTCAGAGCCAGGCACTGTCTCCCCAGGCTTAGCAGCCACTCAGTCCTGGGAAAGCAAACAACTGCCTGATTCCTCTGGAAAAAGCCGGTTTACTCCTGCCTTATTGGTGTTCAGTTAGTAGCAGCCCCCCGCCCCTCCCCTCCCCTCCCCTGCACACATTTGACCTTCCTGCAGCCATTTTATGTTACTTGTTGCTATTGCTGTTTATGAAAGAACCACAAAGCTAAAGGTCTTCATTCAACTGAAAGAAAGACGTTGGTGTGCTTCCAAGTGTGAGAAGTTAGCACTTTGCACCCAGATGGTGGAGGGGATTAAGAAAAGAGGGTGGGGGGAGATGGAGGGGAAAGCAATGAAATCCAAACACTTAGGAGGAGAGCATTGGGCTTAACTGCAGACTGTGCCTCTGCCCTTGGCAATTCCACATCTTTTTGCTGCACCTCCTAATGTTTCATTAGGGAATGAAATGAAATGGTTTTTAATTTATGGTTATTTCATCTTCACTTCTTTTTCCTTGTCTAGGTTTTATTTGCCACAGATGACTTCTTCGCCCCTGCAGAAAGCCTCATAAAGGTTTGTAGGAGGCAGCATGGATGGCTGGTGGGGAGCGAGCTTGCAGTGTTGGCTAAAACCCACCCGTGTATCTGGGAGGACATGTGTCCCACTGTGGGACATGGTGTCTGTGAAGAGGTGGGCTTGGGGAGTGGGAGAGAGGACAGGGCCTTACGTCTTATATGTAGATACACACATACACACCGACACACACGTATGTGTATATATGGTCACACCTGAAGTCATGAGATACGTATTTTTCTCCTTTTTGTAAAACAAAACAAAATGAGACAATGCTACAGAGAAAGTCAAAGCTCAGTTCACCAACTTCTCCTGCCCTTGCAGGGTCAACCAACGCTCTGTGACATGGGTGTGTGTTAGTCACTGGGCAGCTGTGACCAAACACCATGGAAACTCTTATTCCCCACAGCTTGGGAGACCAGAAGACCTCTGGCCAGGCCTTGCCTCCTAGGGTTTCCATGCTTCACATTAGCTCATAGCATTAAGGCCTTTGGGGACATTTGATATCCTGTCACAGGCTCCTCCCTCATGACCTAATCACCCCCAAAGGCTCTATGGTCTACCACCATCACATTGGGGGTAGGTCTTAGTACATTTAGGCCATAACAGAAATTTCTTACGGAATTCTTTTGGAAACTTTCAAATAAATATCTGCCTATTCACATCAATCAATATCTGAAATAATTTCATATTTAATACACACACATCCTGCAGCCTGGCTGTTTTGCTCAGTGTTGGTGGGCTCTGTCCACATTGGTCTGTGCAGACGCAGGCCCTCCTCTTCTCTGCTGAGTGATGTGCACATCATTGCAGCCACTCTGTTCCCCTTCCCTGTCCATGCACATTTGGGCTGATCATGCTTTAACTATGGCACCTGCCCCTATAGGGCAGGTGTCTGTGCCATGTGAGTTGGCCCCAAAGTTGGTATTTGTCACGGTGGGCCGTGTATCCCGTTCTGTTTTCTCTGCTACCCAGTACGTGATATGCTTCCCTACCTTCCCAAGCCATCGCGCTCATCCTGCCACAGCAGGATCGTGATAGCTGACACCAGAGCTAAGCCAAATGCAGGAAAGCTGGGCCCTGAGGGCCTGGGGGCTAAGTGGGTGGTGTATTCCCTCTTCTTCTGCCGGTTTGGAATACAATACTGTGTCTGGTTAGTGAGGAGAGGCTGGGTGTGGGATGCCTTTAGGATGTGACGTGTGTAGAGTCAGTGTCTCTTACCTGAAATGCTTGAGACCAGAAGGGTTTTGGATTTTAGATTTCTTTGAATGTTGGACTATATCCATAGACCTTACTGTCAAGCATTCCTGAAAAAAAAAAAAAGCCAAGTCTGAAATTTTGGACTATTTTGGAGTTTCAGATTGGGGGGTGCTCAACAGGTAATAAAAGTCAAAATGTCACCAATGTTCACATGAAAATCCCCAACTAAGGGCCCTTTCCACACGTCAGGAACATTTCAGTGTGCGCTACGGCCTTGGTCAGGAGATAGCAGTGCTGTGATCTGCCCTTGCTAGATGAGGCACAGAAGGTAGCTGCTCCACAGGCCCTCGTCTGGAGAGCTGGCTGCATGACGCCCCTACTCGCCCGGGCCTGGGTTGGTGTCTCAAACCACGGCTCACATCGGGGCTGCCCAGCACTCCAGTTGCTCCTTTGGGAGCTCTGTCCCCTTCTTCCGTACATTCTGGTAGGGCTTTTCTCAAGCAGTGCCATGGGGTTCTCTTCACATTCCACTTTAGGTACCAAGGAAAACATTCTCACGTGTCCTCTTCCTTCCCCCATGCACCAAACCAATGTTGAGTGTCCACGATAACCCTGGATCTCTCATGGGTCATTTGAGCTTTGCTACCCTCCATAGAGGCTGTGTTTGTCACCCATGTTCTCCAGGATGAAGCAGCTTGCTCAACTGCTTTTCTAAGGAGGCTTTGCTGCCACCAGGAGTCCCTGCATTTCCTTGAGCAGTTGCACAGCCTCTGGGGCACAGGGGCTCAGCTGGCCTCTGAACCTTGGCCACCCTCACACCACCTTGGCAAGTTACTTGTTACACCAGCTCCTACTTCTGTCTTACTTTCTCAGGCCCCTCTGACTGTCGGAGTCACAGCATTTGTGGGGCCTACAGAACGTGATCTTAGTCATGGTGGTTAGTTCTGTGTACTGACAAGAAACATTTCTTTCTCTGAAGATGATCCAAAAATAGGGAGTGGTCCCCTGGTCAGAAGTGGGAGAGCTGGACATGAAGGTGGGGCCAATACTGCCTGAGAGTCCTTGTCACTTTGTTCGTCTGTCCCTTTGGGACAAAACTTGGTATGCTGGGTGCCCAGGTTCTTGGTGAATGTTAACATTCACCTTGTGCATCTTTCTAGAGCGACAGGCCCAGCTTTAAGGAGCACGAGTACACAGAGTTTGGGAAATGGATGGATGGATGGGAGACCAGAAGGAAAAGGATTCCTGGTAAGAAGATGGTGACCATTCAGCTCTGCCAAGTTAGAGATGGGTAGCTGGAATGCAAGGGTGTGTTTTGGGTCTATTTTATCATGGGGCCCTTGGGATGCTCTGTAAGCAGGTCCCTCCCTGTCTGAGCTCCAGGCTCTGAGAAGACAGAGGGGGTAGCTCGAGCCCTGGCCCCCGATGTACCACCAGGTTGAGGCGGCTGGGGACACTTTGTTAGGAACCTGAACAATTTGAGGTGAGGGCTGCAAAGCGAAGGGAAGAACAATCTCTTGGTGAGCTGTGTGGGGACATTGGTAACTGCATTTGCATTTGACCCTCACAGCTCCCTGGCAGGTGTCCTGTCTCCATTCAGCTGCCATGGAAACAGTTTCCTTCATTCACATAGTCAGGAGCTGAATCAAGGTGCATCCCATGCCACTGTATACACTGTCTTTTATGTCACCTTAAGATGCTCTGTTTATTTATTGCTACTCTTCAGTCTCAATGACAATATGCCCCTTGTGGTTGGAAAATCCTTCTAACACTGAACTAATTCAGGAATTAGGATAACAACTGAATTTTTTCACCCCTTGAGTAAATAATAGATATTTAGAGGCAATATTAGGTTCTGACAAATCTGGACATTTTAAGATGGGTTTATATCTGTCAGTGATTAACGAAAGCTACACAGTGACATGCTGACTTCAGGCCTCTGAAAATGTGACACACACCAGCCAGCATCCTGGGGCCAGGTGAAGTCTGACACCTGCTCAGGAGAACCTGGCTGGGCTGGGGTTTCTTCGTCACAGTAGTCACGTGGAACTTCTGGAAGCTGATGTATCCTTGACTTAGAGGTGAAAAAATGAACCTCAGACACCCTGTAACTGCCAAGAGGGGTGACAGCTCAGAACCAAGCCAGGCCTCTCTGGATCCAAGGCTTGTGCACTGTCTGGTCTGGCTCCAATCGTGACCTGGCCTATGATCCTATAGGCCGCAGTGGCCCTGTGTGGTCAGACTGTGAGAGAGTCAAGCTGCCCGTTTCTGTGTTAGGAGAAAGGCATCCTTGTTACTGCCTCCACTTCCACTGTGTCGCAGCGTGAACGTCTCCCACTGCACACAGGCTCACGGGTACTCCTGCTTTCCTGTCACTCAGGTCACGACTGGTGCATCATCCAGCTGGGGATACAGGGCTCCATCCAGGGCTTCGACGTGGACATCTCTTACTTCTCAGGAAACCACGCTCCTCGAGTGTCCATTCAAGCAGCAAACTTGGAGGAAGGTGCGTTAGGAGCCACTGTCCCCAGAGAGAGGACCGAGGGGTGGAAAGGCTTGTCTGGCCCAGCTTCTGCCCACGTGCTTTTCCTAAGACTCAAACGGGCCAGCAGCTCGTCTGAGACCGTGGACCACAATGGAGCCTTAGAACCGGGCTTCCCAACAGGATGTGCTGTGTTTTTTTTTATATGTAAAACATTACTTACACCTGTTTCATTCTTTACATTAAGGCGTGAACATCCTCTTGACCAAAGTAGAAGCTGAAAAAACAAAACGAAAACAAAAAACTGAATTAAGCTTTTAAAAATTACTAGGGAGGAGTTTTCAAGTATCCTTGCTGAATGGATACAAATATCAAACCTTATAACGCATCACCTTAAGGAGATAGCTCCTGAACCAAACTGGTGAAAGAGCTATAAAATACCAATGCACAGCAAAAGCACAAATAACCCAAACACACCAGCTTCCTGCACAATTGACTATTTACAAGAAAATTGATTTTCAGCTTTACAATGTTTGCTGGTCCAACACAGATCTCATTACTCCCACACGTCTGAGGCCTCACCCAGAGGCACGCCTGAGCGTCTCTGGGACGTTTGGAGAATGGGCTGCTGGAAAGGTGGGAGGATGGCCCAGGTCTTGGAGGATCCCATGGGTGGGTGCACGCATGGGGTAGCTAGGTGGCGGCAGCCCACTTGCAGCTACCTCAGTGGGTGCCACGGTGTAACAGGAAGGCTCTTTTCTATATTTGGGATCACTGTGAATTATGCAGGCTCCATGATTAAGAGCGTATAATTTAGGGTCAATTATTTCTTTAATTGGCACTCTCTGATGTTGGCCTGTGAATGTTTTAGAGATCTGTACAGTCATCCATGTGTATATATGTGTACACAGGGAGGGTGAATCAGGTCAGTGGGCTGGGCAGCAGGCCCACAGGTGACTGGGGTACATGGAAAGGAATGGGGCACAGGAGAACTTCTGTCAGGGGTGCTATCCCTGAGCCTTTCCAGGTCCAGTTTTGAGGCTGCTATGGGGGGGGGCATGCTTCTGGAACTGACCTGGCAATATTCCAACTTCATGGACCCAACTTTTGAGGATGCTAGGGATGTGATGGTTTGTTGAACTTTTGACCTGAGATGGTTCTACTCTGACAAGATGTGATATCAGAAGTATTGTTGAACATCCTCTCCATCCAGTGGTACTGGGTTTGAACTCAGGGCAGGTGCTCTAACACTTGAGCCATGCTCCTAGTCCTTTTTTGCTTTAGTTCTTTTTCTCAGAAGCCTGTGGCCAACCTCAGACCACCGTCTTCCTACCTATGCCTTCTGAGTAGCTGGGATTACAGATGTGAGGCACTATATGCACACTCAGATGGGGGGCCCAGGGTGGCCTTAAACCTTGATCTCCAGATAACTGCCTCTGAAGTGGTTGGGATTACAGGCATGAGCCTGGCCTGCACTGCATTTTGAAATTACTGTCATTGTGTTAAGCATTGAGAACACCATCCAGTGCACTTGCCATTTTGATAATCTGATGGTGACTTAGGCAATGATACCTCCAGGGCCATTGGCAAGTGAGAATTGTCACACAACTCCCTGAGACATTCTTCCCTTTGCTTTTGAGCTCTAATCCTGCATGGTCACTTTGACTTCAGACAAACTGCCAGAAATCCCACAGAGAGGGGTCAGGACAGGAGCAGCAGCCACACCTGAGGAGTTTGGAGCTATTGCTGAGGTATGTCCCCAAAGACATGGGTCTGCTTGTTAGGCTAGCCAGGAGGCTGCTCCGCAGACCTGGCCACTCAGGTGGTTCCGGGATGCTCCACCTGGGCACCCCTCCCCTCCCCTCTGTCCTGAGCCACTGTGTTTCACATGCTTCTTTTTTTTTTTAGTTTTTATTTTATTCATATGTGCATACAAGGCTTGGTCTATTTCTCCCCCCTGCCCCCACCCCCTCCCTTACCACCCACTCCGCCCCCTCCCTCTCCCCCCCCTCAATACCCAGCAGAAACTATTTTGGCCCTTTCTCTAATTTTGTTGAAGAGAGAGTATAAGCAATAATAGGAAGGAACAAGGGTTTTTGCTGGTTGAGATAAGGATAGCTATACAGGGATTGACTCGCATTGATTTCCTGTGCGGTGTTACCTTCTAGGTTAATTCTTCGATCTAACCTTTCTCTAGTTCCTGGTCCCTTCTCCTATTGGACTCAGTTGCTTTAAAGTATCTGCTTAAATTTGTTGCCCTTAACGCAGAGAAACTAAAGCAGATACCTTAAAAGCAACTGAGGCCAATAGGAAAAGGGGAACAGGAACTAGAGAAAAGGTTAGATCAAAAAGAATTAACCTAGAAGGTTAATTAACCTAGAAGGTAACACACACGCACAGGAAATCAATGTGAGTCAACTCCTTGTATAGCTATCCTTATCTCAACCAGCAAAAACCCTTGTTCCTTCCTATTATTGCTTAGAGTATTATTGCTTATATTCTCTCTACAACAAAATTAGAGATAAGGGCAAAACAGTTTCTGCCGGGTATTGAGGGGGTGGGGGGGAGAGGGAGGGGGCGGAGTGGGTGGTAAGGGAGGGGGTGGGAGCAGGGGGGAGAAATGACCCAAGCCTTGTATGCACATATGAATAAAAAAAGAAAAAAAATAAAGTATCTGCTTTAGTTTCTCTGCATTGAGGGCAACAATGCCATCTAGTTTTTTAGGTGTCTCACCTATCCTCATATCTCCCTTCACATGCTTCTGAGTGACAGCACAGCCTGGCCTCAAAGAGCCTGGTGTGGTGTGTCTCCAGGGCGGCGCCATCTCTATTCTGCCACCTGCCCTACATATGCACAGACAGAAACTGACAGTCTGCATTTACCTTCCCAACAATTTGATAAAATAACTTTTGAGTCTGATGAACTTGATAAGATAAACAGTGGGGCCTGTGTTTTGGCATATTCACGTTTTGTTTTTTTGTCTAGTCATTAATTCGAATTTGAGTTACGAAAGTTTTGATCAGTAGCCGACAGGGAGATAAATCACAGCAGCAACACAAGCACCAGGTCCTAAGACACCGGGGATCTAGGGAACAGAATTTAGGGAGGCAGTTGCTGGGCCAGCAGTCTCCCCAGACCTCGCTGGCTTTGCTTAAATGCCACACACCACTCCAGTTCCTTCTAGGAACCAAGATAAAGACATCTGGGATATCTGACATCCTGTCTCTTGTTCATAAGCCACTTGCCCCCATCACCCAGCGGCTACTTCAATCGGTGTGGGAAAAAAAAATCTCCAAACATATTCTGTAAATAAGTAAATAAATAAATAAATATTTTGGTGGTACTGGAGTTTGAACTCAGGACCTCAAGCTTGCTAGGCAGTCACTCTACCACTTGAGTCACGCTGCCAGCCCCAAACATACTCTGTTTAACACTAAACTTGGGGTTTGAGCATTATTATTTTTATTAAAGTGCTCCATGAGGTATCCATCACTAATGCTTATCCACAGTAGCTCTGTCCCTCATGCCTCCAAGGACACTAGGAAGACAACTTAGCATTCTCAGGAGCCATTGCTAATGGTCTGTGTCTGTTGCTAGCTCAAGTCGGACACCTGGGATTACTTGCTTCCTATGACAGAACTGAAGCCGGGAAACCCCGCCTCCAGCCACAACTACTTCCTTGTCAATTCCCCGCAGAGGTGGTCTCATGTAAGGCTCAACATTTTCCCAGGTACGTGTGACAGGGACCTTGTAGGTCTAGGGACTCCTCTCCTTAGGTTGCCATGTGCAGAATAGAAAATAAATGACCTCTTCTGGGCAACTGACCTCCTAGTATTTTAGGATTGTAATTTGTCCTTTTTGTACTCCTGGGAAGTCTTATTTTAATCAACTCACTAATAGGTAGCTAATGAAGAATGATCAGGTGGCTTGGGATGGAGTCTCCTAGCAGTTGGTCTTTCACAAGTGTACTGTTTTAGCAGATGAAGTGGAATGTTCAGATGACTTACTTTTTGTTCCAGTTTTATTGTGACACAGCACAGTAACATGTAATTCACACATTTCAAGTGTGCAATTGAAGGACAACACGGGTACAATGTCACCACCAATTTTATTTCACTGGAAAGAAACCTGTGCACGTTAGCTATCACCCCTCACCAGCAACCCACCTTCTTTCTTGATAGATTTCACTATTGTTAACATTTCATATAAACAGAATTGTATTTTATTAGTCTTTTTCTCTTTGACTTCTTCCACTTCGCATAATGTTTTCAAGATTTATCTACTTCATTCCTTTTTTGGCCAAATTAATATTCCCTCATTTGGATATACCACATTTGATCCATTCAGGAGTTGACAGACATTTGTTTCCACCGGTTAGCTATCATGAATAAAGCCACCGTGAAACAAGTTTTTGTATGGATTGATCTTTTCATTTGTCTTGAGTATATATCTAAGACGGACGTTTCATATGGTGACTTTGCGTTTAAGTGTTTGGGAACCTGCTACACTTTTCCACCAGCTACATTCAGGGCTTTTGGTCGCTGTACTTCCTTCCCTGCCCTTGATGACTAAAGATGCTAAACACCTTCTCGTGTGTTTACTGGCCATCGTGTCCTTTCTTTGGGAATAATGACCCTTGGATCATTTTTATTGGGCTGTGTAAGTTATTTATACATTCTAGAGAGGCCCTTATTAGCTAGATACATGATTTGAAAACACTTTTTCCCACTACATGAAATGTCTTTTCACTTTCTTGGTGGTGTCTACTGAAGCACCACAGTTTTGATTTTAACGACATTCAGTATATCTGCTCTTTTGTTGCACATGCTTTTGGAATTGTATCTGGAAAATCACTATCAAATTCAAACCCGTCAATAATTGCCCGTTTTCTATGTGTTTTATAGGCGAGCATCCTTGACCAAAGATAAAAATCTTAGCTTTTCAAATCTGATAGATTTTTAAGTAATGTTTTGTAGGTAGTGTGAGGTAGGGATTCAGCTTCATGCTTGTGTGTGGGGGTATCGGTTGTCTAAGAATTATTTGTTGAATATACTTTTTTTTCCCAGTTGAATGACTTTAGAACTCTTGCCAAAATTTACTTGCCCACAGACACATGGGTTTATTTCTTCACTCTCGGTTCTATCCTATGAATCAATTTTTCCACATGCTGGTATCACACTGTCTTGATTAGTGTTGTTTTATAGTAAGCTTTGAAACTGGAAAGTTGTCTTCCTGATTTTTATTTTACAAGATTGTTTTGAATCCTTCTACAAAGATGGAGCTGGGAGTCCGACAGAGTGCACAGAGTCTGTGGATCAGTCCAGAAACTCTGCCATCTTAACATGGATGGGGGAGGGTCTCCCATTTATTTACATGTCTCAATTCCTTTTGACATTTTGTAGTTTTCAGAGTATAAGTTCTCTACTTCTTTTGCCAAATTTGATCCTGTCCTACAACTGTGCTGAATTCTCTTGTACCAATGCTTTTTAAGTAGAATATTTAGGATTTTTATAAACAAGATCATGTTATCTGGGAATAGAAGTAGTTTTACTTCTTCCCTTCCAACTGGAATGCGTTATTCTCTCCCCCCACTCTCTCATCTCTCTCTCTCTCTCTCTCTCTCTCACACACACACACACACACACACACACACACGGCTAACTCCCTTGACCAGAATCTCCAACGCAATGCAGCATAGCAATGGCAGGAGCTGAGTCCATGTCTTTGACCTAATCCAGGAGGCAGCTCAGCTTTTCACCAGTAAGTGTGGGCTCACCTGTGGGCTTTTCCTAGGCGTCCTTTCCCAGGTCATGAGTTTCCTCTGTTCCTATTTCATCAGGCGTTTTTGTCGTGAACAGGTGTTGAATTTTGTCAGATGCTTTTTCTACATCTATTGACATAGCCATATGGCTTTTGTCTTTTATACTTTTGATACAGTGTGCTACTGAGTTTCATTAGATAGTCTCATTTATTTTTTTGGTGGGACTGGGGTTTGAACTCAGGGCTTCATGCTTGCAAAGCTGGTGTTCTAACACTTGAGCCACGCCTCCAAGTCCATTTTGCTCTGGTTATTTTGGAGATGCGGTCTCGTGAATTATTTGCCCAGGCTGACCTTGAACCTCAAGCCTCCCAATCTCAGCCCCAAGGAGCTAGGATTGCAGCCATGAGCTACCTGTGCCTGGCGAGCATAGTCGACATCCTTGAAAAATGTTGCTTTGTTTGCTGTATGTCCTGAGGACTCTTCCAGAGACCTGAAGCATTTCCTGCACCCGCTTGACTGGGGAGCTGGTCAGCAGAGCTGCTCACACTGCATGCTGGAGGTGGATCTCTTGGTCCTCCTTGTAGGCACCATGTATCTCTGGTTATCACTTTCTGAAGGAAGACTGCAACATGTGAGGACCTGAACACATCTACTGGTCCTGACGACTCATGGGAAAACCATCTGTTCTGGAAGGGAGTGGAAGGGCAGAGTTGAGAGGCAGAAGCCTGTTGCACGCAAGTTAATCCTGCAGTGTGCTGAGCTTGAGCTAGGGACTGAGTGTATCCAGATTTTGTGGCGGGCAGGGTTAACATCAAGAGGCAGGGCTGTGTGTCTGTCACCAGTGGTGCACAGCTGGCACCCCGCACATCCAGGGAAAAGAGAGCAGAAGCTCAGTTTGACTGGCAGAGCCCTTTCTTTATGAAGCCAGACAAGTACTAAAGATGACTGCAAACACTGTGGTAAAGGCAACAAAAGTGCTTAAGTACAGGCATAAGAAATTTCTATTTGACGTTTTTGATCTACCAAAATAGCAACTTCATATGCTCAACCCACTTTGTACAGGATTTAGCAGTGGAGGGAGGGTCTAGACACATCCCCAGTGTGGCACAACTTTGCTGGATTGGACCTGCGAGTCTCTGGGCACAGAGCCCTTTGTGAACTGGTTGTCACCGACAGCTTGAAGGAGAGGGGTAGGCACAGGCTACACTTGACTTTCTTCTCTGTCTGCTAGTGGAGTCCCTGGTTACACTGAATGGATTCCACCTGGGACCCAAGGGTGCAAGGGACAGGAAGTGGCAGTGAGCCAATATGTCACTGAGATACGCATGTTGGAGGGGAGGCCCTTGGAGGGGAGGCCCTTGGAGGGGAGGCCCTTGGAGGGGAGGCCATTGGAGGGTGGAGAGGTGTTTCTGGAATTTCTTGACAGTTTTAATTAACTCTGTAAAGAAAAACTTACCCTTTAAAATATAAAATTACATCTGACAGATAAATCTTTCCTATAGTATTAAAGGAAATCATAATGTCCAATGGGCCAGAACAGCGGCATTACCCTCGTAATTCATCTCCAAGAACAAGAAGTAGTCTTGGAGATCCAGGAAAGTTGTTCTGGTAGAAGGTCGTGTCAAGGGCAAGGGCCCTGGGGCAGTGGGCGTGCCATGTCGAAGGAACAGAAGTGGGCAGGGACGTGGAGCCTAGCAGATAAAGGAAGGCTGGAGGATCCAGAGGTTCATGACACACCAGCAGTCACCTCACCAAAGAACAACGGAGGTGCCTTTCCTTTCCAGATGGTGGCATTGCACGTCTCAGAGTATATGGCACTGGACAGAAAGACTGGACTGCAACTGATCCCACAGAACCTGTAGACCTGGCGAGCATTGCTTTTGGGGGTGTCTGTGTAGGATTTAGTAATGCACATTTTGGGCACCCAAACAATGTAATAGGTAAGAGGGCGTTCCAGGTGTGGGCGTCCATGTGGACGGGTGGACTCAGCATTGGATGGCCGACATGGTCAGAATGCTGTGGAGGAGGGGGCCTCATGGAGCCCTGGGCACAGGAGATTCTCCTTCAGTATTGGTAGTGGTCTTTCCCGATTGTGGCCTAAGCTGCTATAAAAGGGAAAATAAAACTTGCCAACTCAAAGGTTTTAATAATTTGCGTAGTGATGCTCAGGCCCACAGGCTCTGTAATTTAATGACACAGGCATTCTTCTCACACTTAAAATTAAATCATGGGCTACATCAGTAATCCGGGCTATTTCTGTAGGTGTCGGCAAGCCCAAGTCCATAGCAGACGGCTGGGAGACTGCAAGAAGGCTGGACAGGCCCCCGGTATTACAGGTAAGAAGTAGAAACAACTGTGGCTTTGTTTTCCTATGAAGCGTTTTTAAAACGCTTTCACTTTGCGTAATGGAAACACTGGCTTCATTAAGAAACCTCTTCATCCTTGTTCTGAATGCTTATTACCATTCTCTGCATTTCCCAAATTTCCCGTGATGGTGCCATCACACTACCTGGTACAGTATGACTCCATATTGTGCAGATGGCCTAACGTGGGGGCCATGGCCAGCCCCTCAGATGCAGTGTTGGGAAATTCCTCCATTTTCTCAATAAAGAAACAGAAAGACTTATAGTTCAATGATACAAAAGCTATGTTGGTAGACCCAGAGGAATAAAACACCAGTTTAATCATTTTGAGGCAGGGTCTTGCTGTGTATCCCAGCCTGGGTTCAAATTCAGTGTAGCCCAGGCTGGCCCTGAACTCACAGTCCTCCTGCCTCAGCCTCCTGACTGCTGGGGTTACAGACATGCCACCTCGCCTGGCTCAGTTTAACAATTTTTATTGTGTGTTTCCCCAGTTGAGACATGGCCTATGTGTCAGATAGTGGGTGCTAGAGCTGACTCAGAAGTTTAACTTCGGCGGTAACTAATTTGAGTTAAGGAACCAAATAAAAGCAAAACGGCTTTCAGTTTGCAAATCCCAGTGAAAGCTCGGAAATGTCCCCCAACCCCCTGCTTCCTTGGGTGGCACCTCCTGTCACCCAGTGCTTCCAGATGTAAACAAAGACACTGTTCTTCCTGGAGACTGAGCTAGAGAGGCAGAGTGTGTATCAGAACAGACGGTGAGCAGGAACACAAACAGAGGACCTGTGGGCTGGATTCTAGAAAGATCCCTTCATCCACAACAGCCTGCATGGCACAGAAAATCAGGTCAGAGATTTATAAAAATTTACTGAGTCCCAGTGGACTTGCACATCAGCACAGGCGTTTAAGGAATGAGAGAAAAGCTCATTTTTGCAAACAGTGACACACCAGGCCCCTGAAATGCCTTTTGGTGCGAAACAGAAGGCACAGCTGGAAATGCCAGCTGTTAAAAATTATTTTATTAATTTACTTATTTATTAGCTTATTATAGTTGTGCCAGGGTACATTGTGACATTTATAAAATGCTTACAATATATTTGAGTGACAATATATCTGAGTTGCAATATATCTGAGTTAAATTCACTTATCTAATTGTTTTCCTTCTCCCCTTTACTCTCTTAGCACAGTTTCAACAGGTCTCCTTTCTCCTGTATTTTCACACAGGAATACACAGTACTCCTACCCTATTCACCCTTTCCTCATGTCCTCCCTCCCACTGGTACCAAACCCTGCTTTACCTTCTTGTCTTTCATTCTTATTTCATTTTTATTTTTATTTTTTTAGTTACCATGTGATATTTTAATAAATGTAAACATTGTGTAATTAAACTTTAACTGGACATAGGTATTAGACAGTGAATTCTCTTTGCTGTCTTTCATTTTTAAAAGAAGACATTTTTGTTTGTTTGTGATGGTTATACAGGGAGTTTCACTGTGACACTTCCGTGTATACATGTATTTACCCTGAGTTGGTTCATTCCTTCCATTATTCTCCCTTCTACACCATCCCCATTCTTATGGTGATTTCACCAGGTTTGAACACTCTATACTCATGGAAAGTTCATCAAAACCATATTCACCTTCTTTACCCTCCCGTCCCGTTAGTGCCTCCCTTCAGCGTGACCTGTTTTAATTCCTGTCCTTCACTGGGACAGGTGGAAATGGTGTTTAGGCTCGGTCCCTTGAATCCAGGTTAGTTTACTGTTTTAAACTTTTCTCGAATTCTAGACGGACGAGAACGGCCTTCTCCTGGTTCCGGGTTGTGAGTGGGCAGTGTTCCGACTGGCACATCCTGGAGTGATAACTCAAATTGAAATCGATACGAAATACTTTAAAGGTAAGTGTCAAGCCACGCTGGTGTAGTATTCTCAAGGTGACGTGTCTTATGGGAGTGGGGCCTGGGCGCTGGCTCTTGGTGTATTTCCGAGCAAGACTCTTGAACAGGACAACTCACCACCTGCTTTACAAAGTTCGGAGGTGGACTCTGAAGGTCATCCAAGACACCAGTGTGCCGTGTGGCTCCGAGTCAGACACGCAAGGAGCCGGTGAGAGGAGCAGGGCTGAAGCAGTCCGAGCAGATCAGCTGTGTGGCCACTGCTCCTCCAGCTTGGCTTGGAGTTTGACCTCAGAGCCTCACGTTTGCAAAGCAGGAGTTCTATCATTTGAGCCAAACCTCCAGCCCTTTGCTCTGGTTTTTTGGAGATGGTGTCTCAAGAACTATTTGTCTGAGCTGGCCTCAAACCTCCACCCTTCCAATCTCAGCTTTCCAAGTAGATAGGATTACGGGTGTGAACCTCAGTGCCTGGCTTACGTGGGTCATTTATATGAAGAAAGTTCAAGAGGTTCCTAGGCTGAAATTGCTCGGTGACACTTTGTATGTACTGGATTGGGTAGCTTATGCCGGTTAGCTGTCTCTACAATGAATGGTGGTGGCTTACATGTATAAATATTAACTGTGTATTAACTGTACAAAGAGTTTCATTGTGACGTTTTCATATGTGCATATAATGAACTTTGATCGTATTTGCTCATCGCTCTGACATCCCTGCTTCATCCTCTTCCCTAACAGGATGACTGATTTTCCAATGGTTTCTAATTATTACAACTTTATTCAAATGTTACCTCTTATAGAAAGCACAATATACAGGAATGTCAGGTTTTTTTCCAAGAGTGGTGGGTGTGAATTGTTTCAAGAAGTTGAGGGATTTCGGAAGACTGCACGTCAGATCTCATCATTTGTCTTTGCTGCCACTTCTCAGTGTGGCTGATGGGACCTCATCCTGGGGTTGCGCCATGTCAGCTCTGCTGTGTTCTTGTTGTCTGTGTATGCTTGGCCGCAGCTCTCTACACAAATGGTTTTAAAATTGATTTTTTTAAATCAAAGGGTAGTTTAGCTAAAAGCAGGTGACAAACAGTAAATCCACTTAGCAAGGAACCCCAAACCGCAACAGGTGTGTGAATATTCAGCTGGCATGCCCCAGGATGCCTCTGAACAGTGTGGTGAGAGTCACGGAAATGAGGGGTGTGCCAGTATCCACTGTCAGTCCTTTAGCATGTTACATTCAGTCATATCAATCCAACAAGACTAACAAATACACACACACACCCCTACACCAGAGAACCAGAAATTGCAGTTCTCAAGCCCCCTGTCTGCATCCTTGGCTTTGCACAGTACCCTGGGTGGATGTTCACCCACACGTGAGGCCACTGTCCCAGGAGAAGACTACAAAGGGGCATGTGGACGTTAGCAGTCCTCTGCCAGGGATCTTGATTAGCAACTCCTCCTGCTGATCTTAAAGTCTTGGAGAACACCTGTAGAAGTGCTCCTCACAGAGTGTGGGACCCTTCCTCTAGGGTCCTCTGACCTGCCGGGCACATGATTCATGAAATTCTAGACAGAAGAGAGACTCAGGGTCATACTGTCTCACCTGGAGACAACTTGGAAATACTGGAGTACAGCACGTCTGGTGGGTGCTCTGCACCTGTCAACATAGCTTAGGATGGCTTCTTTTTATTGTCATATTACAAAATATGACATTGTAAGAAAAATATTTTCCAGCTTCATAATTTCAGTTGTATTATATAACAGTGTGCAAGTAATTCAACTTGCGACCTACAAAGATTATCAGAATACATCCACCTTTCTTTTTTTTTCTTTTATTTGTATGTGCATACAATGTTTGGGTCCTTTCTTCCCCTTTTCCCTTGCCCCCTTTCTTCCCCCCCTCCTCCCTCTCTCCCCCACCCCCTCAATACCCAGCAGAAACTATTTTGCCCTTATTTCTAATTTTGTTGTAGAGAGAGTATAAGCAATAATAGGAAGGAACAAGGGTTTTTGCTGGTTGAGATAAGGATAGCTATACAGGGAGTTGACTCACATTGATTTCCTGTGCGTGGGTGTTACCTTCTAGGTTAATTCTTCTTGATCTCACCTTTTCTCTAGTTCCTGGTCCCCTTCTCCTATTGGCCTCTGTCACTTTAAAGTATCTGCATTAGTTTCTCTGCATTGAGGGCAACAAATGCTATCTAGTTTTTTGACATCCACCTTTCAAAGCAAGCAAGCTATCTGTTGAAACTCAAATGCACCAGCCGACTAACATAAGGCTGATTCCTCTAAAAAGCACGCTTGCTTCTACTCCATCATAAACTGGCTTGTTCCTTCTTAGAAAGAACACTGGTTTTTTGCTGGGTTTTTGATTTGATTAAAAAGCCCGGTGTCCTGTAAGCTGTGCTGTGCTGAGGGACTGCAGTGCCCAGGTCTCTATATACTCGTACAGGCAATTCTCCTGACAGCTGCAAGGTGGACGGGTGCATCCTGACGACCCAGGAAGAGGAAGACATGGTCAAGCACAAATGGATTCTTCCAATCCATAAGTGGAAGCCACTGCTTCACGTCACCAAGGTTCGTGGGGTACAGTGTTAGGAGCCAGCCCTGGGTCAGCACTGTTCCCCTTGGGGTCATTTTTGCAGGATTAACCTCTGCTCAAGTTTAATGGTAAAATGAACGAGTTCAAAAAAACTACATCTGCAGGATGGTTCTATCTCCTCCCCTTTTGAATGTCTAATAATTACATTTTGTTAAACAAAAAGAATTGCCACATGTGTCTGCATTATATTTAACTCTTTAGAAGGGGTGAGTGGCACACTTAAAGATATAGCGGGGTGTCCACCTGTAGGATGGATGCCCTGAGATATTCTAAAGTGTCTTTGACCGAGGACGAGGGAAGTGGTCACGGTGGGTCAGGTGGAGGAGGGGGCTGCTCTCATGTAACCCTAAAGACAACCGATGACCTCTTTCATCTTATCAGCTTGTTCAGTTAACTATTAGAAACAGCAAACAGTGTGGAGGTGTGGCTCACGTGGTAGAGCTCCTGATTTCCAAGCACAAAGCCCTGAGTTCAAACTCCAGTCCTACCAAAATACAAACAAACAGCGAATATTCAGGGGACTTGAGTATTATTTGGGATATATGCTTCCCCCACTGGCAGATTTTTATTGTAAGCTGGGTTTTTATCACTGAGTAACTTGTTTTTTCTCAAGCCCCTAAGTCCAAACTAATGGCTATGTTGGGAAAGTCAGCTCCTTCAGGCCACACAACCCTGCTTCAGCAACAACCTTTCTTCTAGCTATCCCCCAACCAAAACCACTTTTTGGACAGCCTAACCCTGGAGCTCCAAGATGTCATCACTCACGCCAGGCTCACCATCATACCTGATGGGGGCTTGAGCCGCCTCCGGCTGAAGGGCTTCCCCAGCTCCATCTGCCTGCTACGGCCCCGGGAGAAGCCCATGATGAGGTTTTCAGTTAAGGCCGGCTTCAGGGCGAACCTTTAACCGTGTGCAGGGCGCTGAGTCTGCATCACCACAATCACCCACGCATGGTCTTCTTTTCAAGTTTTGGGAACACCTGGTGGCTTAATAAAATGGTCATCCCACAAACTGGTCTCTGCATTTTACGTTGCATGAAGTGTCTGGTATTGGCTACTGAAAAAAACTCTACAAGACACTGACATTTATGACATCAGTGTCTTGTACCTCGTGTGTGTAGATCCAGCAGGTAATATGCAGCCTACTGTCTTTGAGAGTTTGCTTAACCCCATCAAAACCATTGCGAAAATGTATTTCTGGAACCGGTTACTACCCCCGCTCAAGAGGACTGATCCATCTTCATCCAGAATAGAGAATGACTTTACCAAAGCCCCCACTCCTCCTTCCCCTAAATGAGGGTGCATTCTGAATGTCGTGCCTTTGGGGTGCCAGGCACTAGCAGGTACAGTAACCCAGCTGCTCACATGGTCTGCATGGTAGACAAGTTACCTACTTGGAGCCAGGGGGCTACAAGATTTCTGGGCTGAAGTTGTCCATGTTAAGGGCACTGAGGCTCAGTAGGTGAGCAGCTTCCCACCCAGACCCAGACGGCCAGGATGTCCAGCCCGCACCACGCTTTCTGCAGTGGAGGGTGGCCGTGGGTGCTACTGCTCGGCCACCCTCTCGTTCAGCACACTCATGCCTGCCAGGTGGACAGGTCCTTCTGTCCTCTTTCCCTGAGCTCCAGCCCTCACCTGCTGTCCTGCTTTCTCACTGGTTCCAGCTCTCATCCCTCAGCTGCCCTAGTTCTCGTTGCTGCCCCTCACCGTCTGTGCTGTCTATTGTCCCCTTACCTGTCTGTGCTTTCTATTGTCCCCTCACCTGTCTGGGCTGTCCACCTCCCTCACCTGTATGGGCTGTCCACCGCCCTCACCTGTCTGTACTCTCCATTGCCCTCAGCTGTCCCAGTTCTCGTTGCTGCCCCTCACCTGTCTGGGCTTTCTATTGTCCCCTCACCGTCTGTGCTGTCCACCGCCCTCACCTGTCCGGCGTCTCCGCTGCCCTCCCCGGCACGGCGGTCACAATCACGGCCCGCGTCAGCACCGCTGGCCGCTCCCGGGTGGCCGGGCCCCCGCAGTCCCTCGGCGGGGAGGAGCGGGCGCTGGGTGGCGAGGTCGGTGGCGGTGCCCGCGTCCGCTGGTCCAGGCGGAGGCGAGCGAGCTGCGGCCATGGGCACGCGCGCGCCCTACACGCTGGTGGACACCACGCCGGCCAAGACCATCCTGGTGTACCGCAACGGGGACCAGTTCTACGTGGGCCGCAAGTTCGTGTTCTCGCGGCGCCGCGTGGCCAGCTTCGAGGCGCTGCTGGAGCAGCTGACCGAGCAGGTGGACGTCCCCTTCGGCGTGCGGCGCCTCTACACGCCCACGCGCGGCCGCCCGGTGCTCGAGCTGGACGCGCTGCAGCCCGGCGGCAAGTACGTGGTGGCCGGCCGCGAGCGCTTCAAGAAGCTCGAGTGAGTCCCGCCCCGAGGACTATTACGGTGCCGTGAAAAAGGCCTGCGGGTTCCGCGGGCTGCGGTGCGGCGCGGTGGGGCGCGGTGGGGCGCGGTGGGGCGCGGGGGCTGCAACTTACTCGGGCTAACTCGGGGCGTCTCGAAGTGCGGGCTGGCCTTTCACTGACACTACCGCCCTTCCGTGGTCCTGCAGCCCCTCTCTGCTGCGCTGTTCCCCCTCACGGTCCTTTATTTCCTTGTGCGTTTGCTTAGGGTTTGACGGGGACCACGCCGTGTCTGCAGTTCCGTGTGGGGGAAGTTCTGCCAGGGCCGAGATGAGCACGGCTCTCCAGGAGGGAGTTCTGTTTTCTGACGCGCTCAGCTGACGGATGCTCTGATTACCTTAAAAGCTATGCTTTACTGTGACAGCTGGTTTGGGTTCTAATTCGTACTGACGTTTGCAGATCTAGCATCCTTTTGTTTTTGAGGAAAAATTCGAAGTTCCTGGCATCACGGTGGGCAAGCGACAGCATGTCCTAACATTCTCTAGTTGTTTGTAGGATAGTCGTGGTACAGGCATTTGCAGGCCAGAGTCATTTATTTGCAGATAGGTGATTTTGTGATCGTTTTTCCTTCATGGTTAGCCTGATGCTAGACGCAGCTAGAACTTCCCGTTCTTTACCGGAATCCGGTACTCACTGTTGTTTTACAGCAACAAAAGACCATGTTTCTGCAAAAACCAACTTGAAACTCACTTCCAATGTGGGTATGGTGAAAAGCATTTTATCCTGCTTCCAGCCATTTCTTGAAGCTGGCATGTGTTTTCATGGGGCCAAGGAGGGAGAAAATGTGCGGGCCTGTGCCCTGTGTGTGTCTCTTTCCCTTTCCCAGGATTTTCTAACAGGCCTTGTTACGCGTCCATTCTCCTAGAGAGACTCTGACGGTCTAATTTAAAGTGTGTCAGACATGTGAAAGTATTGGGGACAACGTCCGGTGTTTCCTCCTCAATTTGTGCTGGTTTTCTGTGAGGAGAGGCAGCTGAGCTCCTGGGCGGGAAGGAGGAGGGGCTCTGTGGAGCCAGTAGTGCTGGTTTCTTCACATTATATATGTCCTTTGTTGCTAGAAAACAGACTTGTGACATTTGCACGGGGCGTTCAACAGGCAGGGGCCTTGGGCTTCATTTCTTCACTACTTTTTAGGCCTCTTAAGGCTGCAGTCGAGATCTAGACTTTGGGAATGAGAGCCAGAAGAACGTTTGGTTAGATTTCCTCTGGCATGAGTAAGCCAACTCTTGTTGGGTTTTTTGGCAGCACTGGGGTTTGAACTCAGGGCCTCATGCTTGCTAGACAGGCGCTCTACTCCATGAGCCACTCCACCATCCCTTCTTGGGGACGTATATCCTGTAATTGCTGAGCCACTGAGCTGCTTAACTTAATCTCACCAGAAAATAAGATTTTGATGATGGTGCCACCAAATGGACTTTGAAGTGAAGCCTGGTGGCACATTAATGGTCCTGAGGCCCTCATGATTGTGACCACAAGATGGTCACTGAGGAGACAAACACCATAAAATCTATCCAGTGTCTGGTCATTATGCCACCCACATTTTCTGGAGTAAATTAACTTGGGAAGAAGAACTTTATCAAACAAGGGCCATGTTCTCAGTGAATCCAAATCAGGACAGTCTGTCTGTCTGTCCTCTCTGTTTGGAGCTGAGACTCCAAATGATTTGGATTGCAGTAAGAACACAGTCCTCGTCACAGTGCAAGCTTGTTGGTGAGGCAGATATGAATGTGCTGTTTAAGTCAAAACATCCTGGCTGCACCCAGCTTTCCCCTCATCTCCCTTGTCACCCACGTGCCCTGGGGGGCTGGCAGATGACAGGACAAAGGAGAAGGTGAGTGGAGGGGCAGGTGAGCTGGGGTGAGAGGAATGCTGCTCTCTGAACCAGAGACCTGTGTAGAACCAAATCTGGGCCTTTCTACCTGAGTCTTCTTGAGCAGATTAAATAACCTGTCTGAGACTCTGTGTCCTTGTCAATAAAGTGGGGTTGGTTTATATCTACCCCATGGCACTGCTTGAGAATTAAATTCAGATAGGACTGTAAATAATGCCTGGCATTGATTGTAAACAGTTGACCTCTTCGCTTCCTTTCTTCTCTAGAAGTAGTGAGCATGAAAGTTGCCTAGTGACCACCAGGCCTCTGCTTCAAGCACCCACACCTGCCCACCCCAAGGACACTGTCCTAAGCCCTACCTCCAATCCATTGACCCCGTTCATTGGATCTCTGAGGAATTGTTTGTTCCCTTTTTCTGTTGTATTTATATGATTTTGGGAGTGTGACATAAAAACAGAGTCCTTCGTGTTTTTGTAAGATCTTTTTGTGCCTTAATTTTTTCTATGTTTTTACTTCTTGTTTCCATTGAGTGATAATCATCTATCATTTGGAAGATCGGTGCTCATAAGCAAATGCAGAATTAGGGAATTTATAACTAACTTGTATTTGGAAAGATACAAGACTAGAAGAAGCTCCAGCAGTGACATCAGGGTCTGCGAGCAGAGGTGGTGAGCTAACACTTCTGGCTGAGCTATGGTTTGCGTGGTTCCCATAACTTCCCAGTTTTGAATCAGATGCCACATTTTATAACTGTGAGATTCATGTCATAATGTGAGCTTTGGTTCTGGTTGAAAAGAAATAGAGGCTGGTTTGTTCTAAAGGGCTCAGTTTTGGTTGCCTGCCTGCCTTTTCACAGGTAAACAGTGCTCTGGACCCGAGAGGCCCTGTCCACCTCAGGCAGGGGAGCCCCTCCGCTGACCACAGTCCCCACTGTTCCCATTGCTGCCTTTGGCAAGGGCCATTTTCTCCTTGTCTGGCTTCTGCAGGGATCTGTCTGTGACTCTTGACTCTGTGCTGCACACTTACTTACATCCTTCCGTCTACCAGCTCAAGTCAGTCCTGCTCTGAATGGTTAAAACCATAAATATTGGCAACAATCTCAAACACATAGTTTTTTATTTTTTTTAAATTGGGACAAAGCCTTAATACCAGATATAAAGGTGTTTTCTCCTTTCTTTTGCAGTTACATTCACATAGTTCCCAGAAAACCTGCAAAGATGAGGAAGTTGAAGGAAGTAAGTGTTCACCGCTGATGAGTAAGGACAAGATAAATTAGATAATTTGATAAAAATGTGAATGTCACTGAATAATTGAAGTTTTACAGAAACGGTGTTTAATGGGGACAATGCTCATGAAGTCAGAATCCACCGTGTGAGCCTGTCACGCTTGTCAGAGCATTTAAGTTGACCAGTGATGGGAGGTGGTAAAAATATCCTGTGACCATGCCTAGGGAGACAGTCATCTTTGAGGGCACCGTGCAATCAGTTATCAAAACTTTTCGCTTTCCTTTTGTTTTGGGGCATTTGAAAAGACAGATGTCAGGAAAAGTTCTTTTAATTATATGACACTGAAGCTAATTATAATGCTGAATTTAAAGCTTTCCCCAAGTTGTCGACATTTTTTTCTTGATCGATGT